AAAGGAAGTAACATCCACTTGTTTGCTCCTCCGAGCGTTGAAGGTCAAGCCAATGGACGTCTTCAGCGAGCAGTTCCGTCATCCCTACCAATTTATCCATCTGTACTACGCTGCAATGGCGTTTCTCCTTCAGCGCAGCTGCGTCGCCCAGCTCTCGAGTAATCTAAGCTAACACCTCTAGCCGGACTCCCCGACTATCGCTCCAAATCCGGACACGTTCCGCAGTTGGCTGTGGGAGACCGAACATGAAATGATCTATCAATAACTGCTGTGCTGACGGTTGGTTCATTCCTGGCAAGGCCAGGCCCAACATGTTACCGATGACGACTGCAAACACGAGGGGATCCGCCCCTACACCAAACTGTCTTAATTTGAACCGCAGCGTCGCTTCCTGGTGGTCGGCTAGGTATCCAATCCGGAGACTAACGTATCCTTCGCGTCTTCCCACTGCAACTCGGCAGAAACCCTTTGCGCAGGACTGCCAGGACTGCCTTTGCCATGTATTTGAGGAGACTCTGCAAGACCACCAGCATTGCCCGGTCTGTCATGGCTCCAACCGCCTCTGCCACACCTTCGTAGACCTCCAAGAAGGTCCTCACATTGCTTTCTTCAAGCATCCCCGGCCGGGGATCTTCATAACGCACTTTGGTTGATCACGACACCCGAGGTACAAGCGGAATTATTTGTTGTGTCATACATAGCTAATACTTGGTGCACCCATTGCGACAAACGAGACATCCGCTCATCTTTGTCCTCCCAGTTGGAGGTTGCATGGTGCGCATTTCCTTCGCTGCTTATGCGTCCATTCCTTGCGCTCAAAGAACTATCTCTCTCCTTTGGGGGAATCATTGCAGTCTGCTGTTGACTTGTTGCTATTTCGCATCCTGGCCCTTCCATGCGACTTATAACTGCTGCATTAGTGTCTGCTTTTAGTCAACCACAATAGAACTCTTCCGTTTCGCGCATTCGCGAGGCGTCGGTAAGGTGTGCCGACGTACTCCTGATACCATTTTTTCTTTTGGCTCAACAAATAATCGTAGCAGTGATTTCGCTGCGCTTCACTATATCTGTTAGCGTAGTTGCGCTATTTCGTATGCGCATTAATAACGCAGATTTCTTTGTTTTTTATCTTCACAAGTCCACATTACTTCTTTTAGCAAGAGAGGCTTTCTGTGTGCGCTGCGGTCTGAGGCACGAATGCTTAGGTATTGAGAGCTGACCGTTTAATTTTAACCCTAAGCTTGTTTAATTACACCGACTGTTAGGTATACGTCCTTAATAATTATGCTGACAGCTTCGTATTGCTAACATTTTCTTTAAATTGCCAGTGGGAACCAAGTGTTTTATAGGTGTTAGGATAACGTTGCGTAAATCTACGGGTCAACCCTATGTGCTCATAATGCCAGTTACACATTAGTAAATGTCTGCTGCTACACTTTCCGTTCGTTTCAATATCTTATAGAGGAAGAAGGACCTATGAGAAATGTTGGGTCACGAAACACGTTTTGGTTCTCATCGCGTTTTTCTTTGAAGACAGGAGTAAGTTCATTGCACAGGGAAATTTTCTTTAACTAGCAGTTCAGACTCCGCTTTATACATCGCAACAAGAACGTGCATGAAAAAATTGCCGTAGCCAATCATGCATAGCTGGAACTCTGTCATTAGCTCAGACATGTTTACGTGGTTAATAAGTGACCTCTAACTGGTGATTCATAGAGCAGACATTAAATTTTGTATCCCAAAATACAGGTACAAGCTTGCAATGCAACGCAGCACCATGCAACTCTATCAGCTTGCTAGTCGATCCTTGTTAATTTGAGTCACGCATTTGTTCGCCCGGTAGAATTACAGAGTTATTGAACACTGTGGATGCAGAGGTCAGTCGACGAGGCAAAAGAACGAGCGAATGTTTACAAGGTAGAAGGGACAAAACAGGCCATTAATGTTCAGGACGTATGGATACAGAATTGTGGTGGGAGGATGTCATCCAGGAAGGGCTTGTAAGCGATGGTTGAAACAAATGAGAAGCCATTGATATCTGTTCGTGTTTGAGCAGGGATCATGCACCAAAACAAGGCACCGAATGAACTTAGAGCATGATTTAGGATGTGCCTTAGCTAAAATCGCAACAAGTATACAATAGCTTGTTAGAACTAAAAGAAATAAACCGTCTCATTAACGAATATCACCCCTTGGTTACTTAAAGATTGTCCAAAATTAGGTGTTTCCTTTAATTGTATGATCAATGAACAATGATTTATGCCGGGTACAAAGTACAGTTACTTGACAAGTCCCGTAGCATAATGGGGCTAAACCTACAATATCAGAAGATGTGTGCGTTATCTGTTTGAAGGTTTATCTAGCAGATAGGCTGCAGAATAATTGCAGCATAAGTAGGAATTGAATGCGAACGACGAGCCAACATGGGGACAGTTATAGTTGTACGCCGTGAGAAGAATAAAAATGTGGATTCTCACATGTGTGCCTTCTCTTCAGGTCTGTGTGATATCTTACTCCGGTTAGATTAATATATTCCAAGTAGCACAGTTTAGGCAAAGAAGTGAGGGCGGCCATGAGCAGGAAAATATCCGAGGTGGTGGAGGAAACAACTAGGGTTGTAAAACAGTGCCAGGGTTGGTAGACACGAAGAGAAAAATAATTCCGCCGGCATTATAATCGACTATACTGTGCACACAATTTCAGAGGGTTACCTGAGATTGGTGTTATGGCTGAGTTTCATCGAGTGACAGCGTACGTGATAAGGGTCACTCAATATTTGGTAGACTAATATGAGATCGCCGAGCAGCCTTCGGTAGCGGTCGCTGAAAACTCCCAGTGACTGCAGCGTTTGATGGTAGGACAGATTTCGTAAGCACTTGACGTTATATTTGACCCGGCGTTGTGGTTTCTCCACTAATTTTAAGTCGCGCTACAACCATGCCTGACAACCTTGGATGGCGGATTCAACATGAAGGAGCACGCAAGAATTGTGCTTCATGAAGAAAATGAATGGGTCGGGAGACGGTTCCTTGAATGGTCATAGTACTTTACTTGACCTAAGGACTATAACGCCTTTTATTCCTACTCACAACTTCTCCATATTTTACTACTTTTGAATGATTGATCACCTCGAACACTTTAATGAGAACGTAATTGATCTTGAAAAATCCCTCCACTGTACAACTTTGTTGTACCAGTTGATCAGGATGGCATTTTGCCTGTGTCTCGCACGTCGAGAAATATACCACTTAGTTTTTTATTTATTTATTCCGAATGCTCTCCGCAGCAAGCCGACATTCTGGTTGTCTCACATCGCAGCTGCCTCTGACTGCTTCGAACAGTTAAACTTACTTTGAATGAGCTCACCAACGTCGCATTCTTAGGAAGGGGTTTGCAATACATTCGATCCAAGCTTATACACTTACTCATGTATATGGCGATATTGAATAGCTTGACATAGTTCTAAATTGAACGGTAGGGTACTCAAAACTGACCAGATTGAAATCGTGTTGTGGTCACGGCGGCGCTTTTCGTGGTCATTCGGTTCTCTGATCGCCCGCAATAACTTGATGTCAGCCTCTAAGAAAAGGAAATCGAAGTAATTTCCCTCGCCAAATCGTTTATAACAATCAAGAATGGACGGGGCCCGAGCACCGAGCCTTTTGGTACGCCGCACTCCATCTCAATTGCATCGGACAGGGATGCTCGTACTCTCACCTTCAACCGACTTTCCTGCAGAAAATTGCCTACTCAAAGCAACTGTGTGTCACCAACATCATAGAGTTGGAGATTATGGAGGAGAATTCGGTGGTTTAAGCCAGGCATTCTCAATATTTTTTCAGCCGTGCCCTTTTTTGAACCTGTCCATTTCTCATGACCCCACCTTGGATCAGCACAAATCCAGCACTCCGCAACATCTAACAGACATAATTCTGTGAGTAGAAGCGGTTATATTGGTATCTTTTGTTATAACGACCAAGTGTTTAATGTTGGTATTAATGTACTTTTCCTTTATTGCCATGAGGCTAGATCTTACCGTGGTGCGATGGTTTGCGTGCCTCAGAGATCCATTGAGCTATGTTGGATGGTGCTTTTTTGCACCTTCAGAGCCACTCATACCAGTTTGGTCAATGGTTACAGGCTAGACACACTCAGCCTCCTGTTCCTCCAGGTTGGGGGTCGGAATGAGGGTGGTAACTTATTCATCAAAACGCACTCCTTGTATCCCAACGTCAAAACGGCTGTCCTGCGATCAGGTTTTTGAACCAAAGGCTTTGGTTGAGAACTCTAATCGTTCTCCTGTCTAGGCCTGGGCAACCTGACAGTATCCTGCCCACGCAATACAATGAATTTCTCTTCAAACAGTTTCTTGATTTTCTGGCCACCGCAGAGGAAAGTCAGCAATGCCCTATCTGCTTCATCGAGCAGGGTGGATAGGGATTTGGATGCTGCTGCTCAAGCCTTCCCGTCTTATTCGCCCTCCTACGCTTTTGCATTCTTATCGTCCCGTTCCAACACCACTTTTACTCTCTCATCTCAAACTCCCGATACTTGGCCAACCCCATACATGCTTTTCTAGAACTTTATCTTCTATTTTCAACTCACATGCAAAAGTGGAGCGTCACTGCTATCCTGTCGACAAGCTCATGTTCAACCAAGCGGCCCACGCCAGTTCATCGATTTCCATTTGGTGCCCTCCATCGTACTTCAGGCTGACATGCCTCAATGTATGCACATTGCTACAGATCGGTCATCAGACAGCACTTGCCTGAACATTAGGGAACCTCTCCATCGATATCTGTTGCTTATCGGAGACCCGCCTGCAAGACTTGAGCTCCGAGCTCACTCTGCAATCCCCTTCAGATGAGACCAGCAGTATTCTCTTATTGCGCCTATCCTATGACGATGCAGCTTCAAGCACCGGCCATGCTGGTGTTGGCATTGCCCTGAGTCTCCGGGCGGAATCTGCTCTGGTTGATTGAATCCGACTCAGTAACCGGATGTGTGTGGTCCGATTGGTTGGCTCGTTAAAAGCTTCGAAGTCGCGTGGGACCAACGGGTGTCTATTCATCATCGCTGCCTACGCGCCCACAAACTGTAGCGATGATTCCGTAAAGAACGACTTCTACCGCCAACTGAACGAGCTCCTACGCCACAGAAGGAGCTCGGACACTGTAGTGCTGGCTGGTGATCTGAACGCTCAAGTTGGAAGATTATCCACTGATGAACTACAGCTGGGCGTCCAGCATGGTGTAGGCTCCCGTAATGATAACGGTGAGCGGTTACTTCATTTGTGTGAAGATGCCCGCTTATTTCTTGCGAGTACTAACTTCCGACACATCACACGCCAGAGGGTAACTTGGCGCCCACTAGCCTTGAGCCAGCCTTAGACGCAAATCGATCCCATTGTAGTCAGTCACCGCTGGAAAGGCTGCGTCCAGAACTGTCGCTCGATTTGGAGCACATGTGTAAACACCGACCATGCACTTGTATGTGCTGACATGCAGATGCGTTTTGGCGGACGCCTACGACGACGCTGTGAGCGCATTGACACCAGTCAACTGACGAAGCCAGCTGTTCTGAATGCGTATCGAAATACGCTGACATGCGGGTTGAGTAAGCGCTCACTGGAGACAATTGAAGGTCACTGGTCACATGTTCACCAGACCTTACTAGCAGCAGGCAAATCCTCATGTGGTAAGTCTAATACCCAGCATGGGCAGTGGGTATCTTCACTGTCTATGGAACTTATCGACGCTCGCCGGCATGTTCCGGATGGAAGCGAACAGAATGAGTCTCGTCAAGAGCTCCGGGCATGACTCCGTGCTAGTCTGAAGAGAGAGCGCGAATCCTGGTGGTCTCTTCGTGCGTCAGAGATGAAAGTAGCCACTGCCCTTGGTAACCATCGAAAGTTATTCCGTCTGATACGGGAAACGGGCAGCAGGAGACCTGGTGTTGGTGAAACAATTCGTGACGAGAGTGGAAAGCCTATCTACAATTTGTTAAAACGTTTGGAGCATTGGGCTGAGCATTTTGAACAGCAATTTCATCGGCTGGAATTGTTCAATTCTTCGCCGGCCAGTGATCGCCCTGCTCCGTGGGCTGTCTCTTTGATCCGCCCTCTCGCTCAGAAGTCAAACGTGAGACCGGACTGTTGAAGTTGAACAAAGCCGCGGGACCAGATGATCTTCATCCAGCCCTCTTCAAATTCGGGGGCCATGCTCTTGTTGATGATTTACATGAATTACTAATGAAACTGTGGGAGCAGGAAACTGTCCCAATCCGACTGGAGCCTGCTCCGTTGTTCTTCCCATCTTCAAAGGAGGCTCGTGCTCGGAATGCGGCAACCATAGTGGAATCAGTCTGATCCCTATCGCCTCCAAATTACTTACCTCTATCATCCTTCACAGACTGACTGGCGCTCGTGAAATCCAGATTCGTTAGGAGCAAGCCAGGTTTCGTCGGGGTCGTGGTTGCATCGACCACATCTTTACTTTGCGTCAATTGTTGGAGCACCGTCACACATATAGGCGGCCCACCGTAGTCGTGTTCCTCGACATCAAAGGTGCTTTCGATACGGTCGACCGACGTGCCCTTTGGGACTTTCTACTCAGAAAGGGTGTTCCCGAGAAATATGTACATATTATCCGAACATTATACGCGCGTAGCACAGGCAGAGTGAGGGCTTACGGCAAGCTGTCGCCGCCCTTCAATATCTCCAGCGGTGTGAGACAAGGATGCCCGTTGTCACCTTTCCTCTTCAACTTCGCTATTGACGAAGTCATGGAGATTGCATTTACAGGACACGACTTAGGTGTGGAGCTACTCCCAGGAGAACGACTTCTTGACTTGGAGTATGCAGACGATATTGCCCTCATCTGTGACAGCTCCCAGACGTGCCAAGCTGCACTGGACAGATTAGCACTGGCTGTCATCCGCTTCGGGCTTTGCTTTGCACCATCGAAGTGCAAAGCTTTCCTCCAAGATTGGCAGGGATCGCCTCCTGCGCTGACCCTTGGTGGGGATCAGCTAGAAGTCGTTCAGAAATTCAACTACCTGGGAAGTTGTATCAGCGCCCTTGGGATCGAAGATGAGATCACGAACCGTATAGCAAAAGCTCGAAGTGCTTTTGCTAGTCTTCGCCACCTATGGCGACGGCGCGACATCACTCTCGCCCTGAAGGGTAGAGTGTACAATGCAGCGGTACGTTCGACCTTACTGTACGGTTGCGAAACCTGGCCCCTTAGATCAGCGGACATAAAGAGGCTAGTTACGTTCGACCATCGGTGCCTTCGCAGTTTGGCTCACATCTGGTGGGAACACCGCGTGAGCAACGAGCGTGTTCGACGCCTTGTTTACGGCACAGGAAAAGGATCTGAACCGCTCAGCACCGTCATTTCACGCACCAGGCTCCGATGGCTCGGCCACGTGTTACGCATGCCAGCCCACCGACTCCTGCGACGTGCGTTGTTTGCTCGCCCCGGCGGTGTGGATGGAAGAAGAGAGGTGGCCAAGCGATGACTTGGTCGAGAGGAATGAAGGCCCTCACTTCGGAGCTGGCCTGGGTTGGAGCATCACGACTCCCTTGTTTGAAGCCGAAAGACGATGAACACTTTTGGTTGGATACAATTGCTGACTTAGCTAGTAGCCGACCTCAGTGGCGTTCGTGCTGTGTGTTTCGTTGTATATTCCCATCTATTTTACACTCCACCGCCAACCACGATCTCGTTTCATAGGATAATAGAATTTTACATAATAATTATTTTGGTTGCGTAGTAGCCGGCTGGTAGCTTTCCGGAGCGATGCCCATCCGTTGCTGGTAGCTCATCTGGGATGTAACTGTTGCAGTTATTTTCTGCTTTGCTTTTATGTCTGGTGGCACAATAGCTGATCTGTTTTACACCTCTAGCCAACCTGCATGATGTTGAATGATCCTCTTTCCCTTATAAACCCTTTTTTACCTTTCACAGCCATATGATAATATTCGTTTTGAGGCAACGTAAAGCTACTAGTCTGTAATTGCATACAATTCATCAATAGTTTTTAAGAATTCTATTTGTGTATTGTTGGCTATTAACTTCAGGGCAGGGCAAGAATTAGGAAGTGTATTAACCGTAAGAATATGCTTAGCGTTTTACTGATGCGGGCTTTTAGACTAATATCCTTGAGCAAGCTTGCCTATGTCCGAGTAAAGACTTGACAGCGAGAGTCGAAGATCTTTTCTTGATGAGATATCCAACCTGTTTCTACACTTTGTTAGAGAAACCCTTCTGCTGAATACAGCTTCAAGTAAGTAGGTAAATATAAAAGTACGGAAATATAGTTTCGCCATTCCACCTTCTGAGATAACTGTTATGGGCATAAGGCTTTATACAAAAATCTCTTTTATATTACGCGAATTCTGATCTTGCTATTATGTCATTTGCAAGCTCTGTGAGACTTTCCTGGATGTTAACTCCAACATTGCAGGGCTAAAGGTTCAGTGGATCTAATATCCAGATCGTGATTTCCTTGTGAATCAGGTCATGAAACCAGCCCTTCATTCCTTTTCGGACTTGTTGTAAATGATTGGCATAAGCAATCAAGTCTTCACCCTACAGCTCCTCCGTAACTATAGCGAGAATGGAGAACTGTGCAAATTCCCGAAGTCCGATGTTTTGAGTATACACAACCATCTTTGTAAGAAAAGCAGCAGTGGCCTCTTTGCATAAGATTAGTTAAAGCCTTGAAGAGTTATATTTATTAAGTCGCATTTCTTGAAAGTATCAACCAGATAAAACAGTCTGGCTTATCTATTAACAATTTTCTTTCACAATCAGTTAAAGTAAGGATTAGGATGTTTGTGTCCCAGAGTGCAACAAACCGGACGTAGACGGTTGCCCTTGAACAGCCATCTAACGTCAATTTGCGAAAATAGAACCCGGAAATCTTCACGGCTTTCCTCATACAACTTCTGGAAAAGGCGATTTCGAAGAGGTTGCGATTTGAAATTGTTGTCTACTATTATATCAGCTGACAGTGAATCGTTTAAGTGCCCTCCCAGGTTCTTAACCACCAGCTACACTGGATGAATTGCACACTGAACTGTACGGACCGAAGGGGGACATTTGGTTAGATAGGCAATTCCTTTACATTCGCCGACCATAGCGGCAGCACTTTCTGTTGCAAATCCAACTATGTTCTGTATTGGAATGGAGTTTTCAGTCACCTAGCTATTAGCTACCTCGAATACAGACTGGTACTTTGTATGTGTTTTAATACTCCTGACAAACTTCATCTCTTCTACTAATTCATTAACATTAAAACATCGGACATATGACGCGAGAAGAGCATCTTTGCTAGGTAAAGTAAATTCCTCTAATTATAACGCAAATTCGCTGCATTGTAATAACTAAGGTACGTTCTATGTTTTCGTAGAAAGTAGAAGCCACGATTAAACTTTGCACAATAATCTGCCTCGACGGGGAATCGAACCCGGACACACGGATTACCGGTCCGCTGCTCTACCACTGAGCTACCGAGGACTGACCATCAAGTGCGCAATTTAATATATGACTTCGGCTTGGTTCTAGACAACACTAGGACAGACACTGTGAGCTTATTGGCAATACGTCGCGAACCAAGCAGAAGTCATGTATTAAATTGCGCACCTAATCGTCAGCCCTCGGTAGCTCAGTGGTAGAGCAGCGGACCGGTAATCCGTGGGTCCGGGTTCGATTCCCCGTCGAGGCAGATTATTGTGCAAAGTTTAGTCGTGGCTTCTACTTTCTACGAAAATTACACTACTCACAACGACCACCAGTACTTTCTACGTCTTGAGCCCTCTCATCTGTTCGCATAGCTACAGTTGTTGTTTAGCGGAATGGCTTGAACTGCCATTCGGGGATTCATACTCATCAGGGCGGACAGTATCATTAATACTGAAGGCAAGATAACATCTTCAACATTATGCGAGCTGCAATTTTTGGCAATCAAATTACTGGTTTTGGAAGACGCCGTAAATTCATTCGCAATTTTTCCACTGTCAGAAAACATTGTCTTTAAATTTGGTCTGTTTAGGAAACTATCCACAAACTTTCCACTTTCGACCCTTCGGACACCTTCCAAATGATTCCTCACTTTGCTTTGTCGCGTAGTTCCATCTGATGAGTGTTTTGGCATATTGAACATATAGGTAGAGTGGGGTTTTTGTGACGCGTTAAATAAAAATGATAGGTATTTCACGGAGTACTGTCGGCAATTCTTCTTTGCCCAGTAGCTTATTTGCGATATATGACGACAACATTTTATAATGTAATATATAGCCCTTATTTTATCTTTCTCACTGTTAGATCATAAGTATTAAATAACCCCATTTGACGAAACGAAACACGCAGCTGGTATGAATGATTGGTGGCGCTAAATTTGTTCTTGATTCACTGTGAGATTATAAGATGGGACATATAGTTAGTATACTTGTACTATCTGCTGATGGATACAATGTTACTATGTAAAAGTGTAGAAAGACTTTTAGAGACAATTTGATGGCTGCGTTGAGGCAAGTGATAAACAGCAAGTACGGTCACATTCTAGTCACCGGCGACTTCCACTTACATGCTCTAGAATTACAAGCCACACCAGGAGAGCAATTCAAAGCAGATTTGCAAGATCTGCTTTCAGACTTCCCGCTTTATGGCCACGTCACTGCGCCCACCAGGTTCAGGGGAACTGACAAGCCATCCATATTGGACCGAATATTCACCAATGAAGAACTGATGGTCGAGAGATTGATAACCGATACTCCTTTGGGCCGCAGTGATCATGCGACGCTAGTGTTTCATTACATGTGCTACCCGGATTATCCTAAACAACATGCCGAGGAATTTCATGTCGTAACCAACTATGACGACCTGTCCGACCTCACTGACGCAACCAGCTGGTCGTTCTTAGCCGACTTGACCCCTGAGGTGGCCCGCAGAGAATTCGTCAACGTATTTAATAAGCTCGTAGCAAGAGCATCTGCAACGAAACTCCACCGATCTAAAAGCATGAAGTGTTTCATAAGGAGCAGGACATGTAAATGCATGGCATTAAGGGACTTGGCATGGCACACCTACATAGCCTACCCGAACGACCATACCTGGGATGTCTACACAATACAAAGAAACCACTGCGTCAAACTCGTCCGGGAGGATAAACCGAGGAAGCAAGAAGGTCTAGTGGAAAAGTTTTGCTTCAATCCCAAACTGCCATACAGACACGTAAACAAATTGCGCCGTGTTAAGCGCGGTATTCCTACTATGCACACAGCATGCGGGTTAGCCCAAAACGCAGAAGAGGCGGCCAACCTTCTTCAAAAACAATTTGGCCGCACCTTCCAAAGCGTGCAATCATCATACATACTGCCTAAGCAGATAACGCCGCCATCAGGGCTCAATCACATATGGTTTACCTCCGCAAATGTACTGAAGAGGATGATGTCTCTGCGCTAGTTCAGCTCCCCAGGTGAGGAAGGCTTTCGACCGAAGGCTTTGAAAGTTGCTGCCATGAGTTTGGCAGGACCACTAGTAATTTTCTTTCAACGTTGTATGAACCAGATGCGCGTCCCGACGATGTGGAAGTACGGAATCATCACTCCAATCTACCAAAGTGGCAGTCGTGCTGAACCAGGAAATTATCGCCCGATAACACTACTTTCTGTGATCTCCAAGGTTATGGATTCCATCCTAGCTGAGGCTTTGATGGAGAGCTGGAGAACAACAAATTCTCGCCCCGGAGCAACACGGATTTCGTCAAAATCGCTCCTGTGCAACTGATCTGTTGATTGCTCATGCAAGCTGGACGGAATCTGTGGACGCTGGTGTAGGAGTCGACAGGGCCTACTTGAATTTCTCAAAAGCATTGGATCGCCTAGACCATCACATTCTACTCCACAAACTACAGAAATATGGAATCGTCTAAACCGTTCAGGGCTGGATAGCAGACTTTCTCGTGCAACTTCATCTGAGCGTGGGGGTTCGAAGCAACCAGTCAGAATCCATCGAAGTTCAGTGCCGCGTACCTCAGGGCTCGGTACTTGGAACCCGCCTGCTCCTGGTTTTCATAAATGATCTCGCGAGCGTACTATCTAAAAACTGTTTGCTATTTGCTGATGATCTAAAGGTATGGCGTACTATAGCTGCAGTGGAGGATCAGACAGTGTTACAGGAGGACCTGGACAAAGCGTACCCATGGTCCATCGAGAACATGTTGCATTTCAACGTCACCAAGTGCAAAATTCTCAGCATACGGCACAAGATTATGCACAAGTACCGCCTAGGACCACAAATTCTACAACGGGCTTCTCACGAGTGCGATCTCTGCGTGATAGTTCAAGATGACCTCGGTTATGAGGCAGACCGAAAAGACATCTAAGAAAGCAAACCAGTACCTCGGCCTTCTTCGCAGAGCTTTCGGAAAGTTTGACCCTTCAATTTTTCCAAAAAATGCTTAGTGCGTACGTGAGGCCGCACGCGGAATACCCTATACAAGCGTGGCAACCC